TTAATAAGGCGACAAAGAGGGCATCTCGAAGTTAAGTATAAATTCATCACCCGACCTCTCGACAACCTCTCCAGGTCGGCCGATAAAGGGACTAGATAGACCGGGACTTCTCTAATGCATGTATGAATAGAGCAAAAACATGTAAACTTCTCCAATGAATGTACAAACAAGGCGAAATACGCAAACACATGAGTTTCTCGTTTCTCCGCCAAGTTTATATATTACGCCAATCTCAGAGTCAAACATTCGACCTCGCTCGAATCGACTTTGTTCGAATTAATTAACATTCAACCTCGCTCGAATCAACTTATATTCGACCTCGTTCAAATCATTCAGAGTCAAACATTCGACCTCGCTCGAATCGACTCACAATCGACTTCGTTCGAATCATTCAGAGTCAAACATTCGACCTCGCTCGAATTGACTCACAATAAACTTTGTTCGAATTAATTAATTAACATTCGATTTCGCTCGAATCGACTTATATTCGACCTCGCTCGAATCATTCAAAGTCAAACATTCGACCTCACTCTAATTGACTTATATTCGACCTCGTTCGAATAAGAGTTAAACATTCGAACTCGCTCGAATCGACTCACATTCGACCTCGTTCGAACCAATTTAAAAGCAATATTCAACCTTGCTCAAGGCAACTTATGTTTTGACTTTGTTCGATTGAAAACACAAGTCGACATTCAACCTCAAACCGGCTCGACTCGCAGTCGATCTAAGTGAAATCGCAACCAAGGCAGAAAACATTCAAGGGGAAAATAAGAAGTTCAAGAACAGAAAACAAAAGTATTATCATTACAAAAAGTCATCTTACAAGGGCCAGACAAGTACCCGTAAAACAAAAAAAAGAGACAGAACAAAAGTACAGAGAAAAACACACTACTCGGTCGCAGCTCCCGCATCGCCATCACCACCGACGCCCTCGCCATTTGAGTACTCGTCGTCGTACCAAGCATCTGGCTCAATCCAGTCCAAATCCTCTTCGTCATCATCTATCCCAGGCGTGCCGGGGTCATAACCGCAAGCGGCACGGGCTGCACGTGCCTTAACACGAGCATCCTCAAACTCCGCCTCAGAGGCTTTTCCGGCCGCCATCAAACCCCTATATATGGCAAGATGAGCCTTAGCATGGACCCACTTCTCGTACGAGTCTCGTGGGACGTTGTGATAAGTGGAAGCATGAGAGGTAGACGACTAATCCTGCTACTGCACTTTCTCGACCTTGAGGGCGGCTATCTGCTTGTTCAAATCCTGGACGTCTCCTTCCAGTCCACCTATCCGCTCATCGAGCCTCGCCTCTTTAAGAGTACTTATCTCTGCTTCACTATCCTGCACTGATATGAGGACGCGGAGGGTGCCTGCTAGCGCCGCCGTCTCTGCCATCGCGGCCATTTTAGCTCTCTCAATTGCTCCAACTCTGCAGCTTTGGCAGCCAGCTCATCCCTTAAGTCGTTATCTCTAGTTTCGCTTTGCTCAAGCTCGGCCCGTAAGGACGTCAGCTAAGCTTGGAGGTCGATGCACTCGGCCATGATCCCCTTGCTCACCTCGAGCTCATCGTTTTTGGTCTTTAATGTCTCTTCGAGCTCGCTGCACCTGCCAATAACCTTATGAGCTTATCATCCTTCTCCTTCATTTCCTCATTCTTCTGCCTTAGCTCGTCATGGAGAGTTGGGAACAAAGCATCCTCACCAAGTATGCGGACCAGGGCCTTGTGTTTGGTACGGTACTCTTTGTATTTCGACTCCCTTTTCTTATAGAGAGCCGTCCTCTTCTCCTCTCAATCTCCAGGATAAGAGTCTGATAAACAGACGAAGAGGGGTCATCAAAGGCAAAAAGGAAAGAAGAAATTAAAACGCTAAGAGAGGACTTACTCGTAGGGCCATCCCGGAAATGCCTAACGACATGTCCGCATCCTTCAACGTCTGCAAGGTCCTGTTCTCGGATTGCGCGCATAGGGGGGCCAAAGACGGAACAACACGCTCCGAATTGACCAATAGGTTGAAATCTACGGGGATGACAATATTTCGAGTGGACCCCTCGGTCCTCACCTCAACTCGAGTAAATCTCTCCTCGAAAGTCCGCACCTCTTTGGGGTCGATATCAGAATTGTACCCGCCATCCTACACAATGACCATTTTTCCTCTACCACCAGCAGACGAAGAGCCAACCTCGGCTACCCCCGGTGTTTCCCTTTCCGCAGCAACCTCCGCCGTCTCTAAAGGCCTAGCTTCCGCGACAACCTCCGGTGGTGGAGCAGTCCCCGCAACTGAAGGGCACACCTCTTCCACATCAACAATTATTGTCCGCTCAGGTGTGGTCAGGGTCTCTACTCGTCGCCTTTTCAACAACATCATTTCCTCCTCGTCGAGGGAAGATTCATCCACTAAATGAAACACCGGGCCGGCCGAGGCCTCCGCTGATGGAATGGCCGTCTGACGACCAGGTTCACTTGATATCGGAGTCTAGGAACAAGTATCTCGCACAGACTCAGCCAACACAAACTGCATCCCAGACGAAGCAACCGCCTGGAGAAATGCGGGGATAGGAGCCTTCACCTTCTTAGAAGTTCGCCGACCTGGCATCAAAAGAAAACCATAAGCGACAGAAAGAAGTGCACCGCAACAAGAGCGAAATAGTTATAAGGGCGAAACCCGACTTACCAGTCGAAGGCTTGAGCCCGAACCTCTTGTTGGAGGACGCCCAGTCACGGATCCCTATGGTGTGAGGCAAGACGCAAGCCACCCAATTACTAATATCAGCGACTAAAGAAGGGGGATGCCTCTCAGCTACAAAAAGAAAAACAACGTAACAAGTCACGAAACACGAAGAGAAGGGAAAGAATGTACTCCAAATAATGACACTTACAAGAAAAATTCCATTGTTCAGGAAATTCGCTAGGGTTCACCACCACGTGCTTGATTTTGATGAAGAAGTAATGGGCCCAAAACCGGCGGTTCGTCCCATCATCCATCGCCGCCACCAACCCTTTAGTTCCACGATGGCAGAGGTGAATCATCGTGCCCCTATGGAAGCTCGGTCCGAAGAGGTGCAGTAGATGACGGATAGAGACTTCGCAGCTGGCCAGCTCCGCGAACTTCGCCAACATAAGGAAAAGCTTGTAAAGGTAGGGAGAAAGTTGTGCCAGGCAGATGCTGTAGTAGCGGCAGAACTCCTCCGCCAATGGAGGAAGAGGAAGAGTATACCTATCTGGAACGGGTAGGCATAAAACGCACAATACCCAAGCCAGTGAACTTGAACCACGTCATCTCCGGCCGGAACCAGGTCAACATGGGCAAGAATGCCATATTTGGTCCTAAGGGCGACAAGGTGCTTCGCCTCCATCTCAGACTTCGCAGACTCCGGTTCATGGGCGGGTTCCTTAGAGAAGTCAGACCTGGAAGTAGGGTTACGAGGAAGGATCTCTTCCACAGTGGGGAAGCTCTCATCCTCTATAACCATTGATTCTCCGCCACCAAAAGGCATGGCCACCGATAATGGAGTTGGGTCAGAGATCATCTCAGCGTTGGGGGTCACGTTAGCCATTCTCCGCTAATATGTATGCGGTGGAGCAGAAAAAAAAAGAAAGGGTGGCAACGGCTGCAGTTGCAGGGTGCAAGAACGCAAGAAGAAGAAAGGGAAGCGAGTGCAAGGTTGAAGAAATCAGAGAACGCAAAAGTTCCATTGAGAAGCTTTCCCCTCTTTATTTATAGACCTCAAAGGCGTTCGAATCGATGCAGGCAACCGCCAGTGGCCCTAGAATTGAAACGACAGGGACTCGAGGAATGAGGCAACGCATCGGGAAGATGCGCAATGATGACGCATGCGTCGTGACGTCATCCTGCACAACCCCATGACCTACGAATCTCAGAGCGACACGTCATTATTTCAGCTACGAACACCTTTACTCGATCACCACGCCAAAAAATTTTCATAAGTTGCCAACTGATAAAGTCCGCTCATCGGGGCCGACCAGAGGGCGACCCCGACAAGCGGAGGCACTAACTATATGGTCAAAATCCCGCTTAGAAAGTTAGGCGTGGGAAGATCGTTAAGTGAGAAGACTGTGTTTCGATTTAGGCGGCTAGGCCGAGGTCGACCAAAACCCAACAACGAGCAGACGCTGGGCAAGCCGTAAAGGTTGAGGTCGAGTAGCGAAGATTAGGAACAACGACTAGTATAGTCTTGGAACTAGCGACAGCAATATTCTCTTGAATATTCTCCTTGTTGTACTTTTTAGGGTTTTTAGAGAATATCCCATATAAATAGAAAGAGAGAGAGAAGAAAAGAGTTACGTGAGATTCATTCTGAGAGAAACAATTGTAAGAAGTTGACTCTTGAGAGAAAATACAAAAAGCTTACCTTTCCATAGTGATTGATTTTATCAATTATTCTTCCTTTCCACTCACACGATCCAAGAAAGCATTTTTTCATTTTCTCACTTATCGCCATATTCTGTTGTCAGGAGGAAGAATCTTCCACATCATTCGACATTTGGGTGCATCATTCGACATTTGGGTGAATTGTTCTTCCTATTTACATTTATTGCCATTTTCATATTTATTGCCCATCATTCATTCTTCATTTATTCTCCAAAGCGTGCATTTAATAGCTTAACAACCAATTCCGGGCATTAAGTAGACGGTATCATTCAAATACTTTGCTAGATCTAAGAATTATTATGCTTGACTAGGATTCACCTCTCACCTTATTTATCTTTTAATTAGTTTAACAAAGAATGTTATACTTTTTGGTCAAACAAGAATGCCACCTGCACCAAATGCCTCAAAGCAATAGGGTAATCTGCTAGCACCAAGATAATGTGTGACATGCCAAACGACAAACGATAGAATGCACCAAAATGGTCTTTAACACTAGGAGAGGAAGTTACCATACTATGTGCTAAAACACCAAAGGAGAACCTAATATTTTTTCAAATGAAGAATAAAAAATGAGAGGTGTGCAGTGGAAGAATAATAGCATTATACGGTTCACATAATTACACGAGCATCTGGGCCAACCAGCCATTCTAAGGGGACAAAAGAAAATGCAACACAAGCAGATAATGCCTCTTCATTAAAGCATGGACCTACTACCATTCGAAAATCATAAAATATAGTCTTTGTCTAGCAATAACAAATAAATAGGTACTTCCATAACCTCGACAAGTTTACATACCATTGACGACAGTAGAGAGCTGATGTAGTAGTTGTACAAAAACCTATTGGATGATCACCACAGCATTCCTAGAGATAGCTTGCCCGTGTTGTTCTTGTTGGATTGAGTTGCGTTTTCTTTCATCGAGTGAAAAATCCAACATTTCCTCCCATGTACCACTACCAGAATAACAACTAAAACATGGGCTGAGAAACATTTGTTCAAGTACCATTGCACTTCTCAGAATATAAACAGCAAATTCAATCGCTGCTTTGGATCCATGAAATCCATCGAATGTCACTTCTTTTAGCTTAGTGTGACATGTAGGAGATAAAGGAGGCCTCATGTCACTTCCTCTTTCTCCCCTTGTTGTCCTCGATTGCTGAGATCACAACGAGAATGAGATCAACGTATTGCTAATTGAATATAACTATGATTTATATATGTAGTTAAGCAAGCTGCAATGTGAGCATCTGACTGAACCAAGACTACTTGCTAAAGCAGCACATTAATTGACCAGTGAGGAATATACTAAGTAGTTCATTATGTTGTTGATCACAAAAATAGTTTCATGGAAATCAACTATATATAGTAAGTGTTTCATTCAGTTACCAGTACAGTAAGACCTTTTCTAGCACACAACAATGCGTAACATCTCCTAGTTATAATGAACGAATGATAACATATAGTTCTCTAATGTATGCAAGACCTTGAAGATTTGTACTTTGCCAACTAAACTTATGTGGCACGCCGTTATCAAATATCAGCATTAACAAGGTTTTCAATGCAAATCAGTCATTCCCAGAATATTAGAAAAAATATAGTAGAAAAAAATTAATTCAAGATATTTTTTGTTGAGAAGATAAAGTAATTTTATAGATAAACTAGCATAAAGGTGTGCTATTACAACTGTAAATATCTTCAGAAACAAAACAGACAAATATGCCCCTTCTAATCATGTAGGGTTTCTAACATCTGTTACACTTAGTCAACTATCCACACTCGAAAGTGAAGGAATTCCTTTTTCTGCAACTAATCATAAATGTTGGTAAACCATTTTTATTATTCTTAAGAGAAATTTTAACCTGCCGAGGCAATGAACGATATAGCTGAGATCGTTCAAAGCAGTCCAATAAGAACAATTCTAATATGCAATTCTCAATACAATGATAATTCCTGGCAAAAGTGTCTCAACATTGTTTCCTGTTGTTCTGGTCAAGGGAAACATAAGTTGTAGTTTCTTCTTTGCTATGCTATTTTAATTATACATGAAGCCACATTCTGTAATGTCAAAAATATGTTGTTAAACTGTAGGTGCACAATAACATCATAATAGCAAACGGTGCCCATCCAAAATTAATTAGTTTGTATTTGAATCACTTCAGAGTTAAAAATCTTTCGGTACTCAATTCCTTTATAGTGTTAACAGATTTAAGGATATTTTGGTCCTTTTAACACAATATGCATTTATTTTATCAAACACATTAACAACTTATTTTCATCTTCAACACTTCTATCCAAACACGTAACTGCATAATTACAAAATTACCTCCAACACTTAAAAAGTGTTTTCCAACACTTGGTGCTTAAATGCTATTTAAATTTAGCTAACCCAGACGGGCTCATAATCTCCCCGGCAGAAAAACAAAGGATTTCTTTGATAGTAGACCAAATTATTATTTGGGGTAAACATTTTTATTAGTTCCCAGTAGTGGCGGAGGCAGGATCTCCACGAAGAGGGTTCAAAAATTTTTTTTTGTAGCTAGTGGGAATTGAACATATGACCTTATGAAGGTTTTGAACCCCCTTGACCACTAAACTACACTTTTGGGTTGTGTTAAAGGGGGGGTTTAAAACTTAATATATAGAGGTAAAAACCAGATTTTACCTTATATATACAGTGAACTTTTTCGGCGAAGGGGGTTTGGGTAAACCCCCTTCCGCTCCCTAAATCCGCCCCTGGTTCCCAAATTAGCTAGGTAGTGAAGGGTGTTTTGTCTCATGCGACAACCTAAGCACACCAATATATGAGGGTTATTGGTAATAATACTACTTTTCCCAGTATAAATTGTTTTTGATAGAAAATGTATGGTTACACGTAAACACAAGGAGAATTACCAGTAAATCATGCATGTGGGGGCAGGGGAGTGTGGACTTTAAAATTCAACAAATGCAGAAGTCAACATTATATAATATCAAGCAAACAATATCCAGAATATCCAAAAAGGAAAAGAAAAAAGGATGAATATAGATGACTCACAACTAAATCCAAATGTCGAAGAAGAGGACAAGCGCTTAAGAGAGGGGAAATTTTGACTATGTCAAAGTCGTACGTGAACACAAGTACCAAGGTTAGCTCCCTAAGGTTTCTGAACATTTGTGTCTCGGTTGGGAAGTATTTTATCTGAAATAAAGAATGCTTTAATTGATCAGGATCTTCAAAAGGACAAAGACCAAAGGAATTTGAGAAGACAAGACATCATCAGATACCTGAGAATAAGTAAATCTCTTGCAAAATCACCAAATATGTATGGCATTGCAGCGGCTTCGTTAAAATTGATCATTACAATTTCCAACATGGGAACAAAAGAAAAAAAAATCTTACTTTGCTAAAAAAAAATACACTCAAACCGACGAAGATTTTTAGCCCGAAGATCAATCTCTTCCAATCCGCCACAAGCTAAGAAAAAAACGAATGTCATTGTGCCAGAGATGCATAGCTTACAAGGAAGTTTGCTACATGCTAGCTCTAACTGGTTAAGATTCAAACAAGAGGAAAAAACACTCTCAAGCTGTCCGCTTGCTACACCGTTCGAAGTAACGGTCCTAAGGGAATTAAGACGGACTCCGGAACTTGGTTGGATAATGCAATGGTACAAAACAGGTGTTTCAATGAGGATACCTGAGAGAGAAGCTCAAGAGAAAATTTAAACAATTTGTTGGGGTTGCGTATGGGGTTGGAGTTGTAGATGGGGTGATCAGTGCCACAATCAAATGAAAGACGTAGTCTTTCAACACCTAATCTTGAAATAGAATGCATCCATTGGTCAAATTCCCTAAAAAAAATTTTTACCACAGCAAAAGGTCATCTCAACATTAGCCACTTTACGACCCGAATAAAGCTGTAATAACTGTTCTCTCAAGAATTTTTGCTGATCGTAAGGGCAACAACTGTGATCGCAAGAGTCAATCCCAAACCTGCCAAGGGGTTCGAATTCTAATGTAGGCATAGAGGCAAAGATATATTTCCACCTTCTAGATAAAATGCTCATCCTAGCTGCATCTATTACTGTCAAATGTGCGAGAATGGAAATCAAAACATCATCTGGTAGCTGACCGAAGTAAGCCTCCTTTGCACCATGAACCTAATTGCTTTACAAGTTCGAGCAAGAATCTTTAAGGAGAAATTTTATAGAAGTCATGTTATTCCAGAAAAAGAACTAATAAACTAAATTCAAAGTTTTTTTTTTCCTTTATGGAAATTTAAAGATTACTACGACTCTTTTTTAAAATCTTGCCAATTTGTTTCCATAAGACACCATCAAAATCAGATTTTGCACATACCTCTGCCAAAGAAAGGGGTACCAAATACTTTTTGATTAATCGACGAACTTTACTTGTCGGACTTTTACCCAAAACCCCATAATAATTCATCCAAAGAGCAATTCCACCCAATGTAAGCAACGGCTTCCATTTTCCAAGTCGATCCGATCCATTCGTTCGTAGAGCTATTTACTCGATCGCAGACATTTCTGGAACACCTCTAACAGAGGGGCAAATAGTCAATTTTGAAAGAACTTGTTGTCAACCTCTTTCAGATATGAATCTATCTGATTCCCAAAAGTTCGAGTTCCTTTTGGATTTCCTTCTTGATCAATAACAACTGCAGCATTGTCATCATATCGTATTATCATCCCGTTGTCACGTTTGAGTTCTTTACAGGTCCGCACAATTACAGCTCTGACTACTTCTGATCTTTCTAGGGGCATATTTGGTACGGCTTCTTTGATCACAGGAAAAGGGAAAAAAATTGCAATAAAACACAAAAAGGAATGAACTTTCATTATTGCAAATTCAATATCAATCTTTGTGTTTTGAATCCATCTTCCCGTTTTTAATATAACTAACTCGGTATATTCTGGTTTTACTGTTTTGGCTGGGTAGGGTCAGTAAATAAAAGTAGTGTTGGTCTCTCTCTGCTCAAGTAGTTACTCAAGAACAACAGCAAACAGTACCTTCAAAGGAAAGTTAGGCTTTTTCTATAGAACTTTTATTCGGTCTTTGCAAACTACAAAGTACATACTGAGCATAAACTGGTAAACCACTTCTCTAATGAACTAAATACGCAACGGCAGTTTGATAAAATTCAGGCATGGAATGATATTTCCTCACCTTCCCAGCCAAATACTTATCCATCAAGTAGTGTAACATGTCTTTTTCTAATGCTATTCAAATTAAAATTACATCACTTTATCGACTTCATGTAATAAAGACGGTATGCTCAAGAATTTTAAAGCATTAAAGAAGATTGTTGTCATAAAGCAATTACTTACAAGCAAAGAGCTGTGACGCAAACCTGGAAACTACCTCTATGAGAGGGAGTACAGATGTTTCCTTTTCAGAAGGGGAAGATTAACTTGAATGATTAAAGTAGAATCTTGGAGATATTATCACGGCCATGATTGTCCGTTCATGAATGGAATGGACACTTCTAAAGTGTTGTGTTCTTGTTGGAGACCGACACAACCACTCATTAGACTGTGGCAAACTCACCTTTCACCATGTCCAGATTTTTGACTACAGGGAATGTGCCTTCCGTGTGCCCAGAAGCCACTCCCACATTTTATCATATCCATTTCTTTTTCCTCCTTATCAGTTGTAAGGTGTAAATAGAACTTTCAAGCCTCCACAACGGACAATTAAATTCTGAAGAAGATGAAAATGTGGACAGGGTGAGCAGGAGTCAAGTGTCACTAATTAAGTATCAAAGAAACATGATCCATATCTGTCACTGCTAATAGACAATGATGCATACTTTTAATATCGAGTGGTTATTGTCTCCCATACTTTTTAGTTGGAATAGTTCACGTATACATAACTCATAAACTGATCTGTTTCCAAAAAAAAAAGAAAAAATAGGAAAATAGTCTTACCTCATGCAAGTCTGCTTTATTGTTGGCTTGGACAATGCTTCTTTTCCTCAGTGGAGAAAAAATAGGAAAATGATGTTCTCCGATTTCCATCTGTCATGTATTATCGCTTATGTAACAAGATGGATGGGTTCCACTAACATTTGTTCAAATATTACTCCTTCCAAGGACGTTTTCTCAGGCTTTTTTCCCTAATCCCTTTCGGTTTGTGGATGATAAATACTTCGTCTCAACTGCTGATCTCTACGTTCACCTATATATTTTCGACTAGATTCAAGAATCAACCCAATACCATCAAGATACGCTAAGACTAAGCCAAAAAGGGTGACAGCCTAGTGCAATCTTTATTGAAAATGCCTATCTGACGAGCAATCTCTATAAAGCAAGAAGCAAGCTATTAAGCTGCACAAAGCTATTGGTTCTTATGCATATATGTTTTCTTGCTCGCTAGAGCTATATACATCAGTATAGATCATCCAAGTTCTTGCTACATTGTGTCCTACACTTTCGCAGTAAAGTGAGTGTGTTGGATAGGAACTTGTTTGAGTCCATGAGGTAAAAGACAGACAGAGTACTTTAAAAGAATAAGATAAGATCTGGAAGTACTAGTATTGTTTTGAACCTAATACTTGGATAGAGAACCAAAAAGCTAGAGGTTTCGAGTGCGTAACTGACTCAGTCTCACCCTAAGAACAAAAACACTGACTAAAAATGTCTACATGCTTCTATTTCCAATTGCTTCCTCCCCCAACTCCACCCTCCAAATGAGAAATCACACGCTCTTTCCTGTTTCTAGATTGGTTAGAGGAAAAATGATAACTAGATATAAAACGAAAAATTCTTGAGCTTGAAACTGATTCAACAAGCTACGCACATTGGAAGATCTTCAAGAATGATCAAGCTTCAAGGTCTAGATAAAAGGATTTTCCCCAGGGCTTTGTCTAGTTGTAATAGGGTAAAGAGCGATGTGTGTGTTAGGCACACGTCAATACGTCATGGTTTTAGATCCTGCCACAAACAAAAGCCTAATATTCAAGTGAAGAAGGGTAGAGGTGCGGGCCTATTATCCACCAAACTTTGAACAGTGCGCCATTGACCCTAGGAGATTTCTCGGTTATCAAAAAAATTCGGGGTAAGAATTTGTTTGCCATAATTTGGTAGCTTATGAGCCTCACATTTTTCCATTAATACTAGCCTTTGATGCGATAAGTGAAATTTACATATGTCCGATATGTCAAGTAGGCATGTCGAGTTCATGCCAGATGCATACTTACGTCCAAGTACATGCTACCTAGTTGGAAATGGAAGCAAAGTTTTGTCTAGAGAAAGGACAAGTGAACATCTATGTAGAGTGAAATCTACATATGTCCGATATGTCAAGTAGGCATGTCGAGTTCATGACAGATGCATACTTACGTCCAAATACACGCTACCTAGTTGGAAATGGAAGCAAAGTTTTGACATCTTCTTTTATTTCAGCTTGGATCCTAGTAGGTTATTACATTGGTTCTACAACTTCTCCACGGACATTAGATTAAAGGAAGAAGAGCATGATGCTTTGAAGTAAGTAAGAGACTATTATGAGAATTTTTTTTCTTTTTGTTCTTCCCCTAGCTAGCTATTGTGATTTGTGAGACTTGGTTTGCTTTTATCTGTTTTTGTCAGTCTTTCTTGAGATAACAAAAGCTTCATTAAAAGTATAACACCTTTGCAAAATGTTAAGCCTTTTTTTGCTACTCTCAGGCAGGTACTTATTTTCTCACCTTATTCTAGTCAATTCCAAGCCGGATAAAGGAGGAAGGTGACAGTGGGTTGACGGCTAACAATGGCCATAACGAGTCCTCCGAACACTGAATTCGTTGAAATATGCTCCATCAAGGCACGTGCTACGTCAGTCCAAATAGAGCCGAATGGTGCAGGAGATACATAAAGCTGGTTCCGACCAATTTGGGATTGAGGCATAGATGATGGATTTATTTTAAACCAAACTCACTTTATTGACATGAGTTGCCAAAATAACCCCATATCATCCCCC